AACTCCCTCGCCTTTTGTGCTTTTAGCCGATGATGCCTTTGCTCTAAAATACTACTTAATGAAACCTGACTCTCATCTAAGACTATCACCAAGCGAACTTTAATACAACAACATACTTTCGTTGAAAATGCTTTTGGCATACTTGCGAACCGTTTTCGAGTTTTATTTTCACCCATTCATCGCGCTCCAGCTGCAGCCATTCAGATTGTATTATCTTGCGTATGTGTGCACAACTTTCTAAGAACAGAAAATGTGAAACTACGTTTGACGCCATTTCCGAAAGTGAAATAGATGCAATAATAGATAACAACTATACAACAACCGCTTCTGAAAGAAATGCGTCAAAAAGGAGCGCTGAAGAAATAAGAAAAACTTTCGAAAACTATTTTTCTGCGGTAAATTAAAATATCGTTTCATTGTTTAAATAAACCAAAACTTTTCGGGTTGGAAATTTTCCATACCAGTAGAAGCAACAATTGGTTTATTTGGTGATTAAATAAATGAGTACAATGTCTTCAATTTATGTACATACCTACTAGCTAATACCTGCCTACTTAGCGGTGCACCGTGAGTAGTACAAACACTGTTACATTTTTGATTCAATTAGAGCAACCAAATATTTTAATGAAAGTAATAATAAGGTAAAAAAGTGGTAAGAATAATCAAAATACATATTCACTCGGCAAAATAATAACTCTGCCTCCTTTCAGTAAAGTTTGACTATTTTCCTTTTATTTATTGAACTTTAATAATTTACTTATAAAAATATACCCCATTAATTAAAAATCTTTAAACTTGGCAATATGTGGTGCGTTTATAATTATGACACGGGATGTATAGTTAACTCTACAAACAAAACCATATCAATAAAACTTTTAAACTTTAAACGAAATTCAGGAAAACTCATCAAAATTTCGATTTTTTTCTTTTAAATATTAAAAAGAACATTGCATGTCTGTGTAGATGTGTAATTTTTATGTAATAAATGGGAAATTTCAAGTGGCTTAAGATC